AAGCCTAATCACCTATTATTAATTAGGCTTTATGATTGTTAATAAAAGAGAATATAAAAATTGAAAAAAAAGGTAGTGAGATGAAATGATGATAGATGAATGAATTAAATTTTTGAAAGTGAACGACGAACCTCATTCAAAAAATTTATGATTGATGGATTTAGATATATATTACAATCATAAAATAGTCATACTATAATTAGTATTCTTGTATTTATAATTTTGATATCACTCCACTTTATATGGTTCAGATTTTTCTTATTTCAATCCAAAATTAGATTATGTTATGATTTTAACAATCATTAAGAATTTGCATAGAATTCTTTAAGGAGCATTTGAAATAAAAATATTATCTTTTTGACTTGTTTAAAGTTTTCCTATCTTTTGAAGAATTTACTAATCGTCATAACAAAGTCTACCTATGCTAACTGTCAATTCATTTTTAAAAATATGAGCAGATAATTGAATATAATGTCTAAACATAAGCTTTTTCTTTATTAATCTATCTTGACTTTAATATTGTGCTATTGATGAAGGCTAAAATTATATAAATTTATTATTAGTAGATATTGAAACATCATAAATGCTAATAGTGTAGCATTTTTTGATCATATAATTTAATTCATATTCTTATAAGAAAACAGTTTAAGATAGTAATTTTTTCTTGAAATAGAAACTTGCACAAATTATATGATTTAATTCAATAATCAATTCAATTCCTCCTTTTATTTAAAGTGTCTAAAATAGATAATATAGTAATTATACCTTCTTTACTATAAACACTTTCACTATTTGGAACATGCTAAATTGCTTAAACGAAATAAAATATAGCCTACTCATCCTTTTATAATTTCTGTAAACTATACCCTATAAAATAATTGCAAAAATACCTTTGCTGCGTAAAAATGCTTCATCATTTGGTTAAATCTATAAAGCTTAGTCAAAAGCTTGAAGAGCTTCATTAAATTAACCCAAAAATCTTAATGAATTACCTAAATAAGTTAAAAAGAAAATGCCTTTTAAATATAACGAATCTAAATCATTTGGACTTATTGATAAAGCTTTACCTACCCATTTAAGAGCATCATTATAATTTCCAAGTAATCCTAAACTCTAAGCTAATGCATTTATCACTTACAGTATACCTTTTAAAAGCAGTGATTCTTTATGATTCTCATTTATATATAAAGCTTTATCGGCCCATTTAATTGCCTTTTTGAAATTCGAAATATGCATTAAACTCTCAGCTAAAATATCAATGGTATTTATACATTTAATACACATTGATTCAATATGCTTTGAGTTTAAGTATAAAATTTTATCAGCAGTTTTGATTGCCTCATTGTATTTTCCAAGCCTTAATAAGCTTAGAGCTAATTTATATTTATGTTATTTTAAACCTTTTATAAATAATGATTCAATATGTTTTGAATCAAGAAAAAGAGCTTAATCAGCCCATAAAATTGCTTCTTAATAATCTTTAAGCATTCTTAAAATGCATGCTAATCCATATAAGTATGATTTCTCTACCTTTTGTACTTAATGAATCAATATGCAATGAATTTAAACTCAAAGCTTTCTCGACCTGTTAGAATGCGTCTTAGTATTTCTCAAGCTTCAATAAACATTTAGCTTTAATATCAAAAACCCTTATACATTTTATGAATAATGATTTGACATGATTTGGATTTATCATCAAAGTTTTCTCAACCCAAATTAGTGCATCATCATAACAACTAAGCATTATTAAACTTTATGCTAATAAATTCGAAATTAATTTTTATACCTTTTGAACATATTGATTCGACGTGCTTTGAATTAATAGATATAGCTTAATCAGCCCATTAGATTGCTTCTTAGTACTTTTCAAGCATTCTTAAACTACGAGCTTATACATATAAGAATATTATCTACATTTTGTAGATAATGACTCCACATGCTCGGCATATATAGACAATGCATTTTCTGCTTATTTGATTGAATTATTGTAATCGCCAAGTATTCCTAAATAATAAGCTAAAATAATTATTGATTATTTTTGTACCTTTTAAACATATGGATTCAACATGCTTTGAACTGATAGACGAAACATTATCAATATATTAAATTGCCTTATTGTATTTTTCAAGAAATCCTAAAACTTTAGCTAAAATTTTAATTTAAGATTTTGTACCTTTTACAAATAATGATTCAACATGCCCTGAATAGTTTGATAGAGCTTTATCAGCATATATTATTGAGTCATTGTAATTTCCAAGCATTGCTAAACAGTAAGCTAATGTAATTATGTTTAATTTGATTACCTTTAGCGCATAGTGCTTCTATATTTTTTGGATCAATAGATAAAACTTTATCAATTTATATTATTGCATCATGGTGATTTCCAATTAATCTTAAAAACAGCGCTAATGTATGTGAGATTGATTTTAATACCTTTTATAAGTAATGATTATTAGTAATTCTAATTAATAAATAATTTGTTATCTAATAATTTTATGACTGCATCATAGTTATCATTTTCACGATCTGCATTAATTATTTGATGGTCTTTTTAATTTATTATTTAGACATCTTATTATTCCCATTTAGTTATCTCGCATTGATTAAATTCTTATAGTTTGAGTACTAAAATTTTTTCCTACAACAAGTTGACCATATTCTATTAACAATCTTTGACCTCCTTCAGAATATCATTTTTAATTTCATCATATTTCACTATTTATTATAGAACCTCATTCATTTGCTCTTAATCTAAATGCATCAGTCTCTCTATAGATATTTAATATTTTGTTTTAAATCCTTAAAATAATCTAACAGATTATGTAACAATCTCCCTAATCATCAAACTCAATTCATTTATTAACTTATCACAATCATGTGTAATTTTAAAGAGTTAATTCTATAAGTAATCTATGCTGTATTAATCTTTTGGATGAGATACATGATCTCCTTATTATAGACATTAGTGACAGTAAATTCTATTAGCTTTACAATCTTTATTAAAGCAACTAATAAAGCCAATTGATTTCCTTCGATGGGGCATTTGATT